TATCCTCCAAAATCGGCATCCTATAAAAATTCATTGATAAAGATTGGATATACATTATTTAGGATAATAATATGCCAACATTGCCAGATTCACTTCAATTTCCTCACATTGTTCACAAAAAATCACTGTCGATTCATTGTGACCTGGGGCCTTATTACTACCCTATTCGATCACATATGGCAATATTCATTATTCCAAATTTTTTGGGATTTTCTCTCCTCGTTTCTATAGAATAAAAATATGAATATTATTTCAATATATGTGTAGTAAGGACAAATCAGATGATTTGCCCCAAAATGTCACTGCGTTTAAAGAATTTCCCTATCAGATAGCCTAAAAGAAAAATTCACTAGCTTGTCAGTGACAATTTGTATTGAAAAATTTTTGGAGAAGAGAAATAAAGGTATATAGAAAAAATATCAAATTTTCACTTATCTTTGGACGTTTCGGGACCGATTCTGCTCCCGTCTTCAACATGAAGAGATTCTTTCAATTGCGAAGTCGTGTAATATGTCTTGAGGCTTTTCAGTTTTCAATGACAATTGGTGACGTTGGCAATCAAAGGATGTTTTCATTAATTAATTTTGAATTTACCATTTTCATGTTCAGATTTTAGTAGTGAATACCATGTTCTGTCACCAATTGTCATTGAAAACTGAAAAGCTTCAAGACATATTATACGACTTCGCAATTGAAAAAATCTCTTCATGTTGAAAAAGGGAGCAGAATCGGTTCCGAAACGTCTAAAGATAAGTGAAAATTCGATATTTTTTCTATATACCTTTATTTCTCTTCTCCAAAAATTTTTCAATACAAATTGTCACTGACAAGCTAGGCTCTCTGATAGGAAAATTCTTTAAACGCAGTGACATTTTGGGGCAATTCATCTGATTTGTCCTTACTACACGTATATTGAAATAAAATTCATATTTTCATTTTATAGAGAGGAGAGAAAATCCCAAAAAATTTGGAATAATAAATATACCACCTCCTCGATTAACCTACAGACAGTACATATGGTCATTATTATTGAAAAATATAATGGATATATAGTGAATAATGAATATTGAGAAATTTAGGACTGAAAATGGACGTCCTGAGAACGTGCGCTCTGTACGTCCCGCAGACGTACGTGATGGTACGATCCGGGACGCATTTAAACATTCCGGTATCCAATTGAAGGCGGAGTGCCGAAATTCGTACCAGAATGTTGAGCGGTGCTGAAACACAGGTCGGAATGTTGATGAAATGAAAGCTCGAGATAACGTGTAATGAATGCATTTTTCAATAACTTTAGAAATTTTCATTTATATTCATGATTATTTGGTATAAAAGTTTTAAATGAATGATTATATGTAATAAAATGAGATAATAAATTCGAAATAACAATCATTAGAACACCTAAGTTAATGTCCTATTCCATGGGTTTTAGCGTTTGGTTGATTTCTTGCCACGTTACCTGCCAAACTGCGTCTTCGTCTTCTGCGAATACATTTCATGAGCAAATAAAAAAAATATTTAAAGAACATAAAATTGTTGCCTGTACAAGAATCTTTTAATATTTGTAGGGCCTGATTTGAAACGCCATGATGTGAACGACTGATCTTCATAATCATTTATCCATTGCACAACTTCTGTTTCATTCTTCATATTGCCCCTATACAAATTTTTCTGAAACTTTTATTAATCTTTTCATAATTAGTGATTGATGGTATACTTCACTAATTGATGATTGCACTCAACTATAATAACAAGATTGCAGGTTTGTCGTTAGCATGTGGGAACGACGGTATAATAAAAAAATACGCAGGTTAGGTAAATGCGAGGGTAAAGGTAAACAAAAACAGTGCAAAATGCAAGGCAACATTCCGACCTGCTTTTCAGCACCGCTCAACATTCTGGTACAGATTTCGGCAGTTCGCCTTTAATTGGTCAGACAAATCAAAATCAGCCAATAGTATTTAAGCAGGTGCCGAATCCTATGTTTGAATGCATCCGGGACGTCGTTAGCTGTCTGGGTTCGCTCAGCTCGCGTAGCTTACTTGTCCGCGTGGTCCGCTTGGACGGCTGAACGAGTCGTACTGTCATTCAAAATATGTCGTCTTACCACGGAATGCATCTTCACCATACACAGGGTGACATTTTGAAAACTGCATACCTTCATTATCTTCCTTTCAGTATTCCCAACAACATATAATCTCCAGAAGTTCAAAAAAAATTCCAATACCTACCTCCTATCCTTATCCTCCCTAGGAACGCACGATGTTCTTTGAACATTATAGGGATTCCCTTTCGTGCGCTCCAAGCGATAAAAAAAAAAAAAAAAATCGAAAACAATTTATTTTCAGGGAAGACATTTATAATCATAAGTTTTAGCCTCCCCAGTTCAACCCCCATGTTAGCCCCAGAATCTCAAATGGACAGGGGGTCGACTGGCCCATCATTTCAAAGGCCGTTCGATTCGCTTCCCAAAGGTACCTACCCTAGTTCATCATTTTCTGTTGAGCAGTTTCCAAAAAATGCCGTGTCACATAGAAAAATGTCCCCCTCAATATCTCCTTACCAGTAAATGGTATAAAATATCGAGAAGACTCGTTGATTCAATTCCCAAGAAAGGCACTTGAAATGCATATTTATATTTCTCTCAGTGCAACCCCCTAGGAGGGGTAGTTGTTACCCTCAAAACCTCATATGAAAGGAGGGGTCGAGATGAACATTATTTTGAAAGGCGTTCAAGTATCTTTTCGACAATACTCTAGCTTTTTTATTTTTTGGTGGATAGTGCCCGAAAAATTCCGTTTTCAACTTACAGCAGTGATTAGATCATGCCTGCACTGAGATGCATATTCTTCAGGTAGGTATTATTGTATTGACCCTCCTTTCAGTCCAAATTGTAGGAATATATTGAATGCATCTCAGCATCGATTACTTCTGTGAGTTCATAACGGCATTTTGTGGAAACTGCTCATCAATTAATGATAAATTAGATAACTTTCGTGAAGAGAATTGAACGCCCTTTGGAATAATTTGTATCTCGACCCCTTTTTGTACACCTCCTAGGGGGTTGAATCAAGAGGTCTAGAAATATGTATTCAAAGTGTCGCCCTTGAGAGTGGAATTGACTCATCTTTTTGATTTTTCATATTGTCAACTGGGAGGAAGATAATGAGGGTGGAAAGTTTTTCTATCGACACGAAATTTTTCGGAAACTGCTCAACAGAAAATGATGAACTAGGAAACCGTTGGGAAGGTAATTGAGCGCCCTTTGCAATTATGTGCCTTTTCATCCTCCTTTCCGTTTGAGATTCTGAGGGTAACATCTTTCTTCCCACAGGGTTGAAGCAAGAGGGCTAAAACTATTTATTTTGAGTGTCCTCCTTGGAGATGGAATTGACCTGTCTCGTCGATTTTTCATATTATTCACTGGAAGGAAGATATTGAGGGTGAAAAGTAAAGTTTTCAAAATGTCACCCTGTATACAGCGAATGCAACAACTATTGAATAATGATTATGACAAGCGGTCAAATTTCTTTGAGTAGGCTCAACAACAAATTGAGCAGAACAATTTTTTTCAAATTCTGTATAATTTGCCAATGTATAGCTACTCATCATTATAATTGGTTCGTCTATGATAGACACATTTCCATGATTATGAAACAATCAACAGCATGTAAACGAACTATCAGTCGAACAAGGTGTTTATTGAATGTATTGGGTGGAATAGTTGATGAGAATCATGAGATAGGCTCATACATGATAGGGCACCAGTTCACCATACTCAAGTGATCAATGCACATTCAAATACGAAATTTCGTAGACGATGGATAGGTAGAAGAGGACCCTATAAGTGGCCACCTCGTTCACCAGATCTCAGGAAAATGTATTTTTTTATTGGATCACGTCATGGTACAAATATACAAAACACCCGCGACTACTAAGGAAAACATGGAGAATATAATTCTATTCGAACTGTTGATGTCGATATGTCGTACAAGAGAAGAAGGTGGTGGTAATTTCGAATATTCAATGAAATATTTATTGAACTTTTTCAGTTCCCTTCCATTTGTTGTTAGTTATTTATGTACAATCAATTCATTTTGAATATTGTAGATACCTTATTCACTTCCTTACAGTATTTGAATGTTGAAAATTATTGGTTTCATTTATTCACCTAGAATTAACATAGAGTTCGAAATTCATATACGAAGCAAACTTGTTAAATTATTTTCGAATCCTAAACTCAAAACCATCAATTTCAGAGAGTACATTATACCGACATATTTTGATGGAATGCAGTAGTTTCACAAGATGGAGAAAACATACTGAGTATTTGATTTGAAAAAATTGTAGTTCTTGCTTATCACAATCTCCTGAATGTTTTCTTATTCAAAGAATAACTCGACCCCTGAAAGAAACATCTACTCTGTTCAGACATTTCAGCTATCCATAACCTTCGTACTAATCGAATGAATTCAGTTGCTTATCACTGATAACGTTTACTACGAAGCATTCATAGTGCACCAATTTTCGTAAAGTCTTCATATTTTCCGCTCCAACTTGGCAACGTCGCAATCAATGCAAAAAGTGAAGATGAAGCTAGATGAAGAATATCACGCTGAATTCGATATTTAACGAAAATGCAGGGTGTAGTGTTGAAGAAAGTAAACTTCTTGTTGTCTCGCTCACGCTGAACACCCAGTATACCTCAAAATATTCCAGAAATGTGAATCAGCCCAAATACATGAGCTTTCATTCTGACCATTTTAATTTCTCATCCTGAGTAAGTTATTGCACTTCCACAAACTAATGGGACATCCTATACATAGGTATGAAGCATTCTACGTCCCATATACAATTTGAATAAAAGAATGAAAGCTATTTTCCAGATCAGTAAAGCTATTTCAAAAACGAGTGTGACCTGAATTGTCAATATACAATTGAAATTCATACACTTTGCCCTCTATGAGGATTCAACAATGATTTCTGGAAATATTTTTCAGATTCGAGACGAGCAATGGTATCAAGCGGAATGAAAATGGAGTTCTGAAACCAGGAACCGGCAAAGATCAAGATCAAACTCTGAATGTTGATGGAGACTTTTCGTTCACATTTCCAGATGGAACACCATTCAGTGTGAAATTTGTAGCAACTGAAGACGGATATCGGCCACAAGTTGTCATCGGCCAGGCAAGAAGTGGATAATAATCTACTCTATCTCATCGATTGTTAATTTCATGTGTTGTTAAATGATTATTCAATATTTTTCGTCTCATTTTTATATCCGATGAATTATTATATTTTGAATAGATTAGAATTTCATATGATAATTTCAAATTTTTGAGTTGCTTATCAAGAGATAACAACTTTCAAAATAAATGAAATATATTCGATAACGATAGTTCCTCATTGGAAATTATACTTTTCAAACGAAATTTCAGATGGAGTGGAGTGTCATATATCTCACTGTGAAATTGCCCTTCTAATGACATTCAATATATTTATTTCAATTTGCTTGAAGGACTATTAGATGGCCAAATTCATCGAATCTTGAATACACATTCTCTCTTGGGTGTCATTCGAATGGACTCCATTTTTATGTCCTTCTGATTTCAAATTCAATTAGGAGGCGAGCACGAAGTCATTTCCACGACTTTCCAATCTGAAAACATCAAATCAGGAACATGTTCCGGGAATATATGTGATGTTCCTGATTTTATGTTATCGAGAATAAGAGTCGTGGAAACAACTTCGTGCTTTTTTCATTGAATATAAACCCTATCATGCCACTGAAATGAACTTCGACTTACGCTTTTTCCTTCTGATTTGTTTCCAAGATAATGTTTGCAACAGTTCTCTTGAACTCTAGCAGATCCAGTTTGCTACCGTTTATCTGATGAATTTGATATCAATGTGTACACAGCGGAAAATACAATTCCTTCAAATAACTAGTGAGGAGTTAGTTAGTTATATCCAACAAATTCTAGAGTTTCGGCTTTTAGAACCTATGATATGCTTTTTAGTTTTGTTTTCACAGGTTGAAACGATCCAACATCAGGTATTGAAGGAAGTATTTGGTCTAGAAAATAGCTGCGCTAGCGGTATAGCATCATCAAAATCCTATGCATTCCTTCTATACTTGGTCATATCCTCGGTTGATTCAGAATCAACTGCAGCTAACATTATATCTTCTTGGTTTTCTACAATCACTCCACTAGCATTCCTCAGGCTGCTGCTTAGAATTTCATTCATAGTAATCAATTATCCATCTCCGGAATCATTGTCTGTCACATCATCGCTCGCATTTTCAGGAGGAATTATTATCATCTCGCCAGGAGGAACTGATATGACATTAGCATTTTCTAGTTTCTCCAATAGTTCATGGAGTTTCAACAGCCTCCTAAAATGATATTGATTATCCAAGTAGAAGTATATTCTACAACCATCATTATGAAAGGACGACGCTATTCTCGTGCTTTGCACGTGTGAAATGAAATATTATGGCCAATTATGACTCCTACAATATTTCACAAATACCAAAATATCTCGAATATAAGTAATGAAATAATCAGAATATTTATAATGAGCACTATGTCAACAATATACAATTATCACTTTATAATTCTTCACTGAAGTCCAATTCTGCCAACAACTGGTCAGTATGATGTTATAATAGGTCACCTTGTGGCGTCATCTAATAAAGAATTCATGAACAAAACTGATGTACGCTACGCTGTGAGCTGTGTAACACCTTTCAAAAGGACGATTGTTACATATGGGTCGAGAATAATGTTGATTGATTGAATCGGTTAATCCACCTTTCTGCTAAGGCTTGAAATTGAGATAGAAATAGATTTATTTGAAATAGATATCCTAATATACATACATAGAGATTAAGAGATTTTACAAAAATATAAGTTTACAACGAAATATATAAGACATATACAGTATAATATAGGTGTATAAAAAAGTTACAGTAGTGAATGATAAAAAGATTGAAAGATAAAAGGATGATGAACGATGAACAACTCAGTTGGAATCATAGTGCGCTCGCAGATATTGAGATAAAGAGCGTTTGAAGAGTTGGAGGGTGTTGATTTGTTTAATTTCATTAGGAAGTTTGTTATAATCCAGGAGCCCTCTATGAAATAAAGAGTTCATTGTTCTTACAAGGGTTGTTCGTGGAACAAACAAGTCATCTCTTCCTCTTGTAGCATAGTTGTGAATCTGATGGTTATATGTGATGAATTCATTGAAATAATGTGGTGCTTCACCAGTGAGTATTTTCAATATCAATATCATTGTTAAATATTGTAATCTATCTTCTACTGTCATCCAATTCAGAATATTTATCATTGATAATATAGGAGTATACTTATTTCATTTTAATATCAAAAGTATTCCTCTGTTTCGAAACTGTAGGAGTTCCTTGTATAAACTCTAGTGAATCGATATAGTGAGCTAGGTGATGACGGATAATTTATGATTGTTATGTCAGTCATTCTGGTGACAGATTAAAAACTGTAGATAATATAATAATAACTACGAAATAGCCACAATGCTCACAGTGGAATGAAATAGTAAATAAATGTGAAAAGCTCACAGTCATTTCCACCCAGTGTTCATAAAAAAATAAACAACAATGGTAGATTTCGGGAGAAAAACAACTACTTCCCTGCATAGATTTCGGGAGGATGTAATTCAATATCCTGCGTGGCATTGGCCAGGGAAGTAGTTGTTTTTCTCCCGAAATCTACCATTGTTGTTCATTTTTTTATGAACACTGGGTGGAAATGACTGTGAGCTTTTCACATTTATTCAATATAATAATAGTTATTCATTATACAAGGGAAAATGGTAGTAGATTTTACCACCAGGTTGTGTTGTCTCCCGACGCGTAGCGGAGGGAGACAACAAACCGTGTGCTAAAATCTAATAGTTTTCCCGTGTATAATATACTATTTTTTTCTGTGACAGGAAGAGAAACGCTTCAGTATTGAGAAGATATTTCATATAATCAGAAAATTATCAATGTGAAATTTGTACTTCTTACACCTCCATTGTGGGCATCTTTATTGCCATGTCATTCTATTGTCATATTCTGTCAATGTAATTCTGTGGTTTGATTTTTGATTTAAAAATCATTGCGAACTTATATAGTGATGAAGTAGTTATTTTGAATGAAATTAAATGTCTGAATTCGAGTTTTTGTCTTACTCCACCGGAGTAAGTCGAAGCAGCGGAAGTAGCGTCACAAAAATTATTACCAGCTAAATCGCGGAGAATTAACGAAACCGCGTATTCAAGATTCATGGAATGGAGAATGAGAAAGTCATGCAGTTCTGTTGTATTGGCCTATTTTCCGAACTGGCTCAGCAACAAAAGCCATCAACAGTGTGGTCAAATTATTCAATGATTAAAAGTAGGTATGTTACAATCCAATAATAATGTAGACATTTCAAAATATCCCAAACTAATTACTTTCCTGAAACAAAATGGAAAAGGTTACAAACCCAAGAAAGCAGCGATTTTTACGAGTACACAAATTGGCGAATTTTCAAATAATGCTTCTGATGAAGTTTATTTAATGGCCAAAGTTGTTGTATTCGGGATTGCAGGAGCTTGTCGAATTCGTGAAATCAGCCAGGTAACATTAGATGATATTGAAGATTCAGGAACGATATTGATTGTGAAACTCAACAAACAAAGAATGATGTGGACAGAAGATTTGTAGTTACTGAAGAATATACAGGCTGATTCACGGTGGATGGCACATTAGACGTTTCTGGTGAACCAGACAACGGATCATTTTAAAAATTTAATGGAGGAAATATTTGGACATTCTCTAGCCAACTAAAATATTTTCGACAATGCGGTGTTGCCGCTTCTATTAGAAAGCAGTAGCAACTTTGATTTTTCAAATGGAACACTCTGTATTTTAAATCATAAAAATCATCCATTTTTCTCAAAGTGGTCCAATTGATTTTAAAGAAAAACAATTAAAAATCCCAAAGTCTGTCGACCACAAAATCATTTAATAAGCGACGTGTCACTAGTTTCGGCCACAGGCCATCATCAGACACAACAAGTGATGTAATATATATGAGTACCTAAAATATAATGATAGACAATGTTATGGGGTAAAAAGAGTCATACAATCATATACTAACCTTATAACATATTGAGAAAAATCAAAATTGAAAAGCTAAGCCAAAAAAATTCAGTTGACAGTCCAGCATATTCAAGTGGTTTTTAATTTGGAGAATGTCCAGTAAAACCAAATTAAAATTGGGTTATTGGCGAAGTACATCAGAAAATTATTATTCAAAAATTCTCTCACGTGAGATTAATCAAGAAATGCGAAAAGCAAATGGAAGCTGAGACAGAATTCAAGGGACCAGAAACATCATAAATCACAAGGAAATAAATAGTTTCTTAGTTTATATAAACACATTACATCCTAACATTAAATTCACTGTTGAAACAGAATGTGACCTCAAACTACCTTTCCTTGATCTACTCATCACAAAAAACATCAATACTTCCAGATTTGAATTTCAAGTTCACAGAAAACCTACTGCCACAGATACTGTCATTCCCTACCATTCCAACCACCCCCTATTCTCATAAATTTGCTTCTTTCAACTGCTTTCTTCATAGAGCCTTTTCTTTGCCACTGTCTGATTCAGCTTTTAATAGTGAAATTAATATAATTAAATAAATTGCCATCAATAATCAATTTCCTCTAGATCCAATTATGAAAATTTATTTTAAATTTTTCACAAAATTCAGATTATCATTCAATGTTATAACAGCACAAGAGAAAGAATTACTATTGTTTAAATCTTTACATTACTCTGACAGGCACTTAATACAATTGAAAAAACTGTTTTCAAGTTTCAATTTCAATATTTCTTTTAAAACTAACTCCAACCTTAAAACCTTATTAGTGAACACTAAAGACAAAATCCCTACTTCTGAAAAATCCGGAGTTTACAAACTTAATTGCAATGACTGCAACTCCTCTTATGTTGGTCAAACTGGGCGGAGTTTTGAAACTAGAGCCTCTGAACATAATAGAGCGATTAGGAGGAATAGGAACATCAATAATTCAAACACTAGTTACTCCTTCGCAAACCATATAATTGAATCTAACCATAATTTCAATATATCTGACAACATGGAATTCCTTCACATTTGTAATAAAGGCTCCAGGTTGAACCTATTGAAAATGCTAGAAATTCAAAAATGTATAAACAATCCCAATTTCACATGTCTTAATGATCAAACCAACTTTGAACGTAACCTCATTTTTCGTACTATGAAATTTCAATGATCAACATAACCCAGATTGATCTACTGTCATTCTTTTCCCAATCTCTTGGTCTCATTGGTTCAAATGTTGATTTTGTTTTAGTTATTGTTAATTAATTTATCATATTGACGTCACTTGTCTGTGTCATATTCGGTGTCACCACCTCAGTTATTAGTTTCATGTCAGTTCCGGTTGACTTTGACATGTGTCACTCATTTTTTGACTATTTATTTCCTTGTGATTTATGATGTTTCTGGTCCCTAGAATTCTATCTCAGCTTCCATTTGCTTTTCGCATTTCTTGATGAATCTCACGTGAGAGAATTTTTGAATAATAATTTTCTGATGTACTTCGCCAATAACCCAATTTTAATTTGGTTTTACTGGACATTCTCCAGATTAAAAACCACTTGAATATGCTGGACTGTCAACTGAATTTTTTGGACTTAGCTTTTCAATTTTGATTTTTCTCAATATGTTATAAGGTTAGTATATGATTGTATGACTCTTTTTACCCTATAACATTGTCTATCATTATATTTTAAGTACTCATATATATTACACCAATTGTTGTGTCTGATGATGGCCTGTGGCCGAAACTACTAACACGTCGCTTATTAAATGATTTTGTGGTCGACAGACTTTGGGATTTTTAATTGTTTTTCTTCGCTCTGTATTTTATTGCATTTTTAGATTCTTCCTGAAGAGCAGATTTCATCGATGTATCACACTTGGGGTCTAGCGGAAATGATTACAGAGATATAGGGAGTGACAAATCGACATTCTTCAACTTTAGGATTTTTTTTTGTCGAAACTATTCATTATTGGTCAAAACGCTCACATGTCCCTATCTCAACTCCTGATCAACTATCTACTAACATTTAATTGAAACAAATACAGGGTGGTGCAGAATTCAGAATCTTGATCAACCGGTATATGTTCCAATTAAATATCAGTAGATAGTTAATCAAAAGTTGAGATGGGGACATGTGAGCCGTTTTGACCAATGATGAATAGTTTCGACACAAAAAAATCCTAAAGTTGAAAGATGTCGATTTTTCACACCCTATATCTCTGTAATCATTTCCGCTAGACCCCAAGTGAGATACATCGATGAAATCAACTCTTCAGGACGAATCTAAAAATGCAATAAAATACAGAGTGTTCCATTTGAAAAATCAAAGTTGCTACTACTTTATAATAGAAGCGGCAACACCGCATTGCCGAAAATATTTTAGTTGGCTAGAGAATGTCCGAATATGCCCTCCATTGAATTTTCCAAATGATCCGTTATCTGGTTCACCAGAAACGTCTGATGTGCCATCCACCGTGAATCAGCCTGTATATTAAATTTTACCGAACATTTACATAGCCCTGCGTCCAGCAACAGCAAAGGATCGCCGCCTGTTTTATGCATATCGCAATGGAAAATGTATCAATCAGGTTGTGGGTGAAAATCAGTTTTATAAGGTACCTGAAACAGTAGCTAGTTTTCTAAAACTTGGAAATGCTACCTCATATACACGTAATTCATTTCGTCTGCTACACTTTTAGTTGAATCTGGGGGAGATTTGCTGACACTGAAGAAACATGGCGGTTGGAAGTCATCAACGGTCGCTGAAGGATATGTTGATGAATCGGTATCACACAGAACAGAAATAGCTAATAAAGTATTCAGAACTTGTGGCATTGCCAAAATAACACCCCATTTGCAACCAGGTACATTAACGGCAGTTGCGTTCATGGCATAAAGAAATATAATTTCAACACGAGAAAATCTCACTGTTGTTCCGAATACTTCAAGGAACGTGTCATTCATGCAATGCACATTCAATAATTGTACTTTTGATATGAAGGAAATGTAACTTTCGTTTAATAAAATATTCCGAATCAAATGTGTACCATACTTATGAGTATCCGGGAAAAAAGTACTCACTATTTTCCCACGGGAAAAAAGTAATTTTCGAAAAGTGACATTTTATAACCTGTCAACAGAGATGAAATGTCAAATTTCTTTTCCGTCACAGAAAACATACTTTTATAAATCGGCTATAATCTACAAAACTTTTGTAGAGTAGAGATAGAATTACCGTCTAGTAATGATATCAGACTAGCACAGTAATCAAAGTGTGGTTGGATTATTGTTCTATAAACAATAAAATGGAATTGGAATGTAAGTTGTCTACTAATTCTAGTGAAGAAAAACATTTCTTTCAGAATTTTATTACAAATATACTGGAAGTGTTTTTTCAAGCTCAGAGTGTTATCAACGATGAAGCCCAGGTATTTGCATTCTTTCACAATTTCAATAGTTTCGCCGTAGATTTCAATATTAATGGAGTTGATATCAATTGAGTTATATTTATATTGAGGTATCAATATCATAGCTTTCATTTTAGTGATATTCAGTTTGAGTTTGTTTATGTTCAAAAACTTCGCTACGTTTTCAAGAGTCAAATTAATTCTAGGTACAGCATTATTTCATTTCATCTCATTTCATTTATTCATTTCAAATATTATCAAATTACATGACATGTGGACAAGTCACTAAAAACTAAAAACTAAAAACTACTACTAAATACTAAGTAGTATAGGTATAAAGGACACCAATTTATGAATACAAGATACATTATAGGTATATCCACAAATGAGATATTGAGTATAAACACGAGGTAAATACATGAAAGAACAGTGCAACAACATTATTTTTATAATTTGATATTAAAATATTCATCTACCGAATGAAGGGAGTACTGCAGTAGGAGAGTTTTTATTTTACTTCTGAAAATTTAGAAATTTGATATATTCTTCAGATCATTTGGTAGATGGTTACATAATTTTGAAGGCATTACAATACAACTTTCTGCCGTTAAAGTAAGTCTATGAGGGGGTAATCTAATCGTCGACGTAGATCTTATATGGTGATTAACAATATCACCTGATACAGTTTACTTACAGATGTTTTTTTCTTCACAAAAGTTACACATTTAAGAATATATAATGATATGACTGTTAGAAAGCCTAGTTCCTTGAATAGGTTTTTGCAGG